AGAAAGTGCCAAAGAAAATATTTTTGCAAGAGTCAGGATGACCTGAAGTTTTCAACAAGATCCTTGAAAGTTGCAGAGGTCACAGAGCAGGCCAGGTTCCTGGAAGGGACTCTCCTGTTGCTGCTCTGGTCACCACCAGGGAACTGCAGGGAGTCACCGGGGACCACGGCTCTCTTTACTCTGCGTCCAGTTTTTCCTTAAGTGGCCTTATTTGATTCCTGGGCTTATTCTTTATGTTTTGTGGTCAGGCTATGAAGGCACTCGTCTTTCAGAAGGGAAAGACTTGGTGTTGCTTTTTTAAAAAACAGCTCAAAGAGGAGCACAGTGAGAGAAACGCAGGGTTTAAGGTACTAGGGCAGCATGACAGGAGCAGCGGACACCAGCCCTGCGTACGGAATTCTCATCTCTGAAATGCCACGGCAGCTTTAAACCCCTGGGCTGTTTGAGCTGAGCTAAGGAACATTATTTATCCTTTCAGACTCTCCTTTTTTTGTCTTATGTCCTGTCTAGGGGAAGCCCTATGCATCAGTGCTGTTCATGAGCTTCTTATAAAAGACATCTCGCAGCTCCTCTCCCACATTGGGTGGCCCTTGAGTGGCTTGTCCTTCAAGTGTCAACTTAAACTTTCTGGAAGTATAGCTAATAGGAAATGTCCTTTCAGGAGCATGAGAACTACCTTTTATTTTATTTTCTGGTGTCTACCACGTGCCGTGCACTGTGGTACATGCATGCATGTCACCCTGTTCAGTCTTTACATCAGCTGAGATATCTGCATCTCCATTTGACTAATGGAGAAACTGGAGTCCAAAGAAGTTCCATAACTTGTCCAAAGTCATACAGCAGAGCCCGGACTCTCAGTTTGTGAGCACAGGAAAAGTTGGTTAGTCCTGCAGAGGGAACTCTGAGCTCCGTGGGAATGCAGCTATTGAACGAGTTTTCTTTTAAGCTGAAGTGTGGCAGAGCCTGCTCAGCTCGGAGGATACGGGACTGCACACTGCCGGTGTCTAGATGAGACTCTTTTTTCGGTTCCCCTAGAATTGTTTGACTTTTTGCTCTAATTAAATTGGAGTCAGAATATGAACATTTCCTGGGACACCACCATGTAATCACCCCAGCCTTTAACGTCTAAAGTAGCAGCAGTGACTGGAAAGAGGAAGCTGTCGGTGATGGTACAGTTTTCTTTGACGTTATAGCAAATGTCAGTTTTCTTCAACTGCTACTGATGGTTTTAACTGGCATTAAAATATTTATTCAGACTTAGCCTTACAATTTATATGAGGATACAGTTTATTGACTTGTACAGTATTGTCATTACATCCATTCAAGGGTGCACGGATGGATGTGAAGCAGACACCACTTAACAGCGGTGCTATATAATGCCTATAGATGTGGGTCAGAATATAGAACTGAGCCTGTGTCTTTTTTTAAATGTTAATTAAGCAGCTTACCCCAGTGGGGCCTTTACCAGATATCTCCCAGTTTGGTCTCTTCTGACACTTCAACCCGAGGGAAAATTAGCGACAGGGAATGGAGTGTTTGTAAACAGGGGTAGGAGGTATTACTGTGGTGGGCCCTGGCCATGCCTCTTGAGGAGGCCTTTTCTTCAGGGATGGGGGTGGTGTTTTATCCCTGGGACCTGAAGCTGCTTCCTTTTCCTAGGTCTGTTTTATTTTGTTTTATAAAGTTTTATGATTTCTGGACATGTCTGTAAAAGAATTGCTTAAGATTTGTATAAAATGTTGTTTACAGTTCTTCCCGTGAATAAATACAAAAATTCCATGGGTCTCTTGGAGAATTTTAAATAAAATTGCTTATGATAGAAAGATATTTTAGCCCTGGCTGGTGTAGCTCAGTGAATTGAGCGTGACCTGCAAACCAAAAGGTTGCTGGTTCGATTCCCAGTCAGGGCACATGCCTGGGTTGTGGGCCAGGTCCCCAGGAGGGGGCACAAGAGAGGCAACCACACATTGATGTTTCTCTTGCTCTCTTTCTCCTTCCCTTCCCCTCTGTCTAAAAATAAATAAATAAAATATTTTTTAAAAAATATTTTACTTCACTGAAATCTATAGCTAGCACATTTATCTAATAGGTTAAAAGACAATCTGGTGTCACTTTTTGCAGGTGACACGAGTCTATATATAGAAAGCCCTAAAGACACCACCAAAAAAAACCATTAGAAACAATAAACAAATACAGTAAGGTTGCAGGATACAAAATCAATGCATAAAAAAAAACACTGCATTCCTATATACTAACAATAAAATTTCAGGAAAAGAAATGAAAATAAAACAATTCCTTTTGCACTTGCAACAAAATAAGATATCTAGGAATGACAAGGATGTGAAGGAGCTACATCCTGGAAACTACAAAGCATTATTAAACCAGATTGAAAAAGATACAATGAAATGGGAAGATATACTGTGTTCATGGATTGAAAGAAGAAGCAGAATTAAAATGGCAATACTACCCAAAGCAATATACAGACTTAATGCAATCCCCCTTGAAGTCCCAATGGCATTAAAAAAATAAATAAAACAAAATATCAAATTTGTATGGAACAACAAAAGACCTTGAATAGCCAAAATGATCCTGAGAAAAGAACAAAGCCAGAGGTATCGCACTACCTGACTTCAAATTATACTATAGAGCTACAATATTCAAAACAGCATGGTATTGGCAGAAAGCCACACAAAGCAATGGAAAAGAATTGAGAGCCCAAAAGTGAACCACATGTATATGACCAAATACTTTTTGACAAGCCAGAAACACACAATGGAGAAAAGGCAGCCTCTTCAATAAATAGCGCTGGGAAAACTGGAAAGCCACATGCAAAGAATGAAACTAGACTAGTTTTTCCCCATATACAAAAATTAATTCAAGTGGATCAAAGACCTAAATATAAGATCTGAAACAATAAATTACATAGAAAAAAATAGGTACTAAGTTCATGGACCTTGGTCTTAGAATTTGACCCCAAAGGCAAGGGAAGGCAAAAATAAATGAATTGGGACAGTATCAAACTAAAAACTTCTGCACAGCAAAAGAAACTACCAACAAAACAAAAAGCTACCAACTGAATGGGAGATGATATTTACAAACAACAGCTCCAACAAGGGGTTAATATTCAAAATACATAAACAGCTCATACAACCCAACACCTAACAATCTACCCATTTAAAAATGGGTAGAGGACCTGAACAGACACTTCTCCCAAGAAGGCATACAAATGGCCAACAGATACATGAAAAGACGCTCAAGTTCACTCCCTATTAGGGAAATGCAAATCAAAACTGCAATGAGATACCTCCTCCCACCAGTTAGAATGGCTGTTATCAACAAGACAAGTAATAACCAGTGTTGGAGAGGTTGTGGAGATAAAGGAACTCTCACTCAGGGCTGGTGGGAATGTAGACTGGTACAGCCACTATGGAAAACAGTCTGGTAGTTCCTCAGACAATTAGGAATAGAGTTACCATGTGACCCAGAAATCTCTCTTCTGGGTTATCCACCTGAGAAACTTGAAAACATTTATTTGCAAAGATAAATGTACCCCTGGTTCGCTGCACTATTCACAGTGGCTAAGACATGGAAACTACCAATCCCCTTTTGACAGGGGATTGGATAAAGGAGATGTAGTATATATATTCTAAGGGATGCTACTGAGCCATTAAAAAAAAGTGAAATACTGTCATTGTGACACCATGGATGGACCTTGAAAATAGGTAAGTGAAATAGGTCAGGAAAAGCTAAGAACCATATGACTTCACACATATGTGGGATATAAAACTGAAACTCAAAGACAACAGTATGGTGGTTATCAGTGGGAAGAGGGGTTGGGGAATTATAAAAGGAGGCAAATACACCGAGATGGAGATGATTTGACTTGGGGTGGTGGGCACACAACACAATAGAGATTACGTATCATAGAAATTTACATTGAAACCTATATAATTCTATTAACAAATGTCACCCCAAAACTAGCTACCCTCTCCCCCTGCCTCATAAAGTTAAAAAAAACAGCCGGGGCCTGTGAACCCAAGGTTCACGGTTCGATTCCCAGTCAGGGCACATGCCTGAGTTGCAAGCCAATTCCCAGCAGGGGACCCATACACAGGCAACCATACATTGATATTTCTCTCCCTCTCTCCCTCTCTCCCTCCCTTCCCTTCTAAATACTTTTTAAAAAAATCTACGATATGGGCAAAAGTAAGTTTACAGTTGTTTGTACACAAAATACAATGATTAATAAATAATTGTACAAAAGTAAAGTCTGTTCTTAAAAAAGTTTAAAAAAATTTAAGATAATCCAAATTGACCCTAGACTAACCAGGCTGAATAACTGTGGCCAGCATTTCCAGGCTCTTGGCAGACAAAGCCAGAGTTTAGGTTGCACACTGGGCAGAGTATATTCTATTACCAGGTGTCCTAACAAAATGATGGATTTTTATAAATGCTCTAAAGGCAAAGTGACAGGATATTTGAAAGCGGGGGTGAGTGAGCAGTTTACCAATTTCGCCCTGGTGTACAATAGGTTCCCTTTGTTAGGCAGCCAATAAAGCTTCTGAATTTCAGCTGGAGACCCGCGCCCACTTCCAGAATCTGGGGGAAAACTATTATCCAACGCAAAGAGTGTCAAGGTGCCGACAACAATGTGGGTAGAGCACGCCAGGGAAGAGAAGTGGAAGCCGAGACGGTGAAAGGTTAGAAAAGTACGCCGAGGTGGGAAACCAGTTTCACTCTCTCCACCAAATCCGCGGGCCAGTTCCCTCCAAAAGTTGTACAGGATGCCGCCCCAGGTTTCAGCGATGTGGAGGAAAGCAAAGTCCCACTCGTACAGAAACTACCACCCTTCGGAAGCTAAACAGTGGTGCGGCTGGGGGCGGGACCGGAAGTTAAGGCGTTCCACTAATTGCGACACCGAGAAGTGACGTCACGTCCGCTCAACACAAAAGGCCCGACGCTTTCCTGCAGTCGGGAGGGCGCCCCTCCAGAATGAACAACTGAGCGTGCGTCAAAGCCGACGCACGCGCCGTAAATCGTCGGCGGCGGGCACTAGCGTCGTGAAACGGGCCAGAGCCTGCGCAGACTTGGAAAACTTAGGCGGACGTCAGAATGGCGGGCACTGGGCTGGTGGCTGGCGAGGTAGTGGTGGATGCGCTGCCGTATTTTGACCAAGGTTATGAAGCGCCCGGTGTGCGGGAAGCGGTGAGTTCGGGGCGTCTACGTCGGGGACTCGGCGTTCCCCGGCCCTCGGACTGGAAGAAGCCCCTAAAAATCGCTGCCCCAACACTGGCCCCTGTTCTCGTCCTTAGGCTGCGGCGTTGGTGGAAGAGGAAACTCGCAGATACCGACCTACGAAGAACTACCTGAGCTACCTGACAGCGCCGGACTATTCTGCTTTTGAAGTAAGTGTGATGGCCTGAGCCCAGCGTGTGGGCCAGGATTCCCGCGAGCCTTTATTCTGGATTGAGAGCTTTCCCCGCGATGAAGTGTCTTGCTTAGCTTGCATAGATACTGTCAGTCTATTGAAAACAGCTAGAAACTGTACTTGAACAAACAAACAAAGAAACAAAAAAACAGCTAGAGAGGTAAACCTTCTCCGGGGTTCTTACTCTGAGACCCACGGAAGGACTTTCTGAGGCTCCGCGAATCGAATTACCTAACAGTGCAGAAAATGAGTGTGCATGTTTTTCTGAGATACGTTCCTTGCGTAAATTCTCGATGGGCTCCTCTGTGTGATGTCTGAGGTCCACTCTAAAACAGGTGATCTAGTGTGTTTAAGTGTGTTTGAGCTTAATTGCCTAAGTTCCTGAGAACCACTGGAGGGCGGCCTTTGCATAAAGCCTAAATGTTTACAGAATGTGAATGACGGAAGGGACCAACCATATCTCCGTAATGCACTATTTACGCATTTATAAAGCTTTGAATAATCTTGCACCCAAGATAATACTTAGGGTCTACTCAGCTAAACTAAATGAATGTAACGTAGTTTTAGGTTAATGGATTCTCTTAAGCATTTTAATATATACATCGTTGGAGTTCCCCCCCCCCCTTATAGGTAACCATTTATTTATGAAAGAATTCTGTTATTAAAACTCAGTATTTATATTGAAGTAACATAAGAAAATATTGGCTAAGTTTTAAGCAGGAGAGAAATGTTCCTATGATGTGCTATTTTTCCATGCTTTTAAAAACATATTGTTACCCAAACACAAATATTACCAAATCAAGAACTAAGTACAGTAATGCTTTCTTACTAGACTGATTTCTGAAAGTTTCAGATTCTAAGTTCATTCACAAACTTTCAAACACTTGTATCAGTTTTTTCTTACTCTCTTAAATACAACACATTTCCTATCTTTATCATTAGTATACTGATTATTTACTCCTTTTTAATAATAGGAGCTTGCGAGTGTACTGGGCTCCTCACTTCCTCAGTCCTGAAAATAGCACTGTGAACTATATTCTGATTTTTTTAGATGCGATAACTGGAGCTCAGAGGCTAACTGATTGGCTCAAGCCCTTACCCACTCCTAGCTTTGAAACTGTTCTTCACTGATTGATTTAACAACTATTTACAAAGTGTTTTCTATGACAGGTAGGGGGGCACAGGACAAACAAGGTCCATACTCATGGAGGTCACATTCTAGAGTGTGACCACAGACAAATTAGTCAGAAAATTAGACTGTCGATAAAGCTATATGAAGAATTAAAGTAGTCATGTGATACAGTGACTAGGAACTCCTTTAGTTGGGGTAGTTGAGGAAGGCCTGCCTGTCTGAGCTTCAGTGCAAATGCCCCACAGGCAGGGATCTTTTTTGTCTCCTTCACCCACTGTGTCTTCGTCACTTAGAGCAGTGCCTGGTACACGGTAGGCACCCAAATATGTATCAGTTAAAGTGCTTCTGAGGCAGTTTTATTTAGTGAATGCCTAATGTGTGCCTAGAGTTCTTTTTCTAACAGCCTGGTGAGTGCTGGCTCAGTCACCAGGAGAGAGTTGAGCTAAAACTCCAGCTCTGTCATTTACTAGACTAGCCATGCGAGTTAGGTGAGAGCTCCTGTGTTAATAGTTTGAGATGCTTGTCCTACACTTTTACAGTGTCTCTCTTGTCTAATGTTAGTTCTTACTCTTTGTCTGTCGCTGTGTGAAAGCCTGTAGTTAGAATACCCTGGCTCTCTGTAGGAAACCAGAGAACTACATTTTCTTAGAGCTTTGTGTAACTCAGAAGTAGTGCAAAAAAGGGCTTTCTCCAATAAAAAATGTTTAATGCAAAACTTTTAAACGAGGAATGTGGGCTTCTGGAGGGCTCTTTTTGCTTACTCTTTAGTATACACTTGTTGAGAAAGTTGAAGCCTCCAAAAAGCTGAGCTTATATGGGAAAACTGAGATGCTACTATAAATACTTCACTTAAGTAGTTCTTTATATTCAGGGCTGGAAAGGTGCAGAGCAAACGGAAGAGGATATTGACCAAAACATTGGACCCTAGAGAAATAGAGTTATACCACAATGTCTTTAAAGCCGGTAAAATTGTTAGGCCAGATAGCAGAAACCAGTTCATTTTGCCCATTCCCCATTCTCTCCATTCTTTGCAGAAAGTAAAGTGGGAAAATAACCAGAACTAAAAAAAGAAACTACAGGCTTAGGCTCATATCCCTAAAACAAATTATTTTATGCCCAAGCCCGCTCTTCCCCACCCCTATTGAATACTTAGATCCATGGTTCTCGACATTGGCATTATCTTAAAAGGAACTGGTGAGTTAAAAACAAAAATTATAACCATGTCCAGTCTCCACCTCAGAACAATTAAGTGGGACTGGGGGAAAGAGGTGGATGTGGCTGAGACTGGAATTGCTTTCAAAGCTCCCGGCTTATTCTCTTGTGTCCCTGGGACTGAGAACCACTTATCTAGGATTAATCCTTTGCTCTGTGGGCGCCTTTTTATATGAAGTGTGTGCATGTGTTCTCCAGCTCCTAGAGAACATTGAACCCAGAGACTTGTGAGAAGGGAAATGATCCATTGTAATGGGTAACGTAAAGTATAAATATTTAAGTAGGTTAGATTCATTGTTCAGTGGTAGTTGATTTTAATTTGTCTGTATTATTTTGAAAACAATTCTTTCTCCAATTTATACACCAGACCGACATAATGAGAAATGAATTTGAAAGACTGGCTGCCCGACAACCAATTGAACTGCTCAGTATGAAACGGTAAGTCAGTCCCATTTCTGGGTTCAGCTGGCCTCATATCATTATTTACTTTAGTCTTAATTTTTTTAGTAAAACTCCAGAAGCCATGCTACAGCAAATATTAAGAAGGAAAAATCCTTGTCTATTTTTATATATTTGTTTTTCATGCTGTAGTGTTTCGTATAATCTTGTGTTAATGTTCAGAGATATTCTTTGCACCATTATATAAAATGCAAATGTATTAAAATCCAGCCACAGGGGAATGGTAAATTGTAATGAAGTTCATGTTTAAGATTTCCCAGGGAGCCCTGGCTGGTGTGGCTTCTTGGATTGAGCACTGGCCTTCGAACTGAAAGGTTGCTGGTTCAACTCCCAGTCAGGGCACATGCGTGGGTTTCAGGCCATGTCCCCAGTTGGGGGCCTGTGAGGCAACCAATTGACAAATCTCTCACACATCGATATTTCTCTCCCTCTCTTTCTCCCTCCTTTACCCTCTCTCTAAAAATAAATAAAAATTTAAAAAGATTTACCAGGGGAATGTTCCTGAAGGGACATCTAGTTCTTCACTGCTGACATGAGTCTGGTGGCTTCCGATGATGCCTGCCTCACAAGTGCGTGGCAGCCTCAGCAAACACAGAGTGCCTGTGGTCCCACCCCCCTCCTGTGCCCTCTCACTACAGAACTGTTCTCCTTCCTCGGGGGAAAAACCCAAACACCCTCTAAGATGGAGATCTGATTGCTTACCATCTGAGGTCCTTCCAGCTCTAAAATACTGTGGAATAACGAGAACCACGAAGCCATCTGTCAGAGCCAAGTCCTCGGCTAGGGGGCCATGGGCATACGTGTGTAGGGCGGAGGAGGGATTCGAGTGTGTACAGCCGGAGGACCAGACTTGTCTCTCCTTGTGCTCCATCTCCTGTCTGGCCTGGGTGGTAAAGTGGAACCGCTTCCCAGAGTCCAGCTCTCCCGTGACCTGGCGCTTCCGCTCTGAAGAGATTCCTGAGAGTAGCTCCTTCAGGGCAGTAGGTTTCAAAGCACAGGGGATGACCCATTAAACCGCAGGTTGTGAAGTGAATTGGGTAAAACGCTTGTGAAGAGACATAGGATAGAAAATGTCAGAATGCATTGCATGTAAAGATAAATATTGTTTTGTGAAATGTTGGTTCAACTGTGTATTTGTGTAGTGGCTCACAGTGTAAAATGTTTCTTAGTGTAGATTGTAGTCAGACTTGAAAGTATATAAGGTATGTATAAAGCTGTTTTTATTTATTTATAGAGAAGAACTAAAAAAGAAACTATAGGCTTTACTTTTCATAGACAAAATGGAAACTCTGACGAGTATACCCTTTAAACTCTCCTTTCCTCTTTACCTTGTCTATGAAAAACTATAGGGAAGAGAGGAGAGAAACATCGATGTGTGGTTGTCTCTCGCACGCCCCAACTGGGGACCCGACCTGCAACCCAGGCATGTGCCCTGACTGGGAATCCAACCAGCGACCCTTTGGTTCATGGGCCAGTGCTCAGTCCAATGAGCCACACCAGCCAGAGCTTAAAGCTTTTTTTTTTTTTTAACTGGCTTATTATTTCTTGATCCCAGTTGCATACCTCTGGATTTTTTATGGGAATAATTGGAGTTTTTATAGTATCTAGTAAAAATACTTAAATGGAAATAAAAACTAAGTTTGTAGGAATTCACGAACACCAGGCTGACATTTGTGAAGAGTGTTTGCTGGCTCCAAGTATTTGTCAGTGACGTCATTTAATGTCTAATATGACAACCCTTCATATGAATGTATTATAGCTTAGTGAATCCATTCACATGGATGTGGACAGTTTTCGTGACTGTATGTAACTTTGCTAAATCTTATTTGTAAGTTGATTGTTTTTAGGATAGTTCTTTATTATTATAAGGTGTTCATCTTCCGTCTTCTCCAGTTGTTAAAGTGTGTATAGGTCCCCGGAGGCATTCTGTTGGAGAGAGAAAGGTTTGGGGGACCATGTAGTCACATTGTTCTTTACTCTCAGGTATGAACTTCCAGCCCCTTCTTCGGGTCAAAAAAACGACATCACCGCGTGGCAAGAGTGTGTGAACAATTCCATGGCCCAGTTGGAGCATCAAGCAGTTCGGATTGAGAATCTAGAACTCATGTCACAGCATGGATGCAACGCCTGGAAAGTATATAATGAGTAAGGAGCTGTTTGCCGTTTCTTAAAAACCCATTCTACCCACAGCTTTGGTGTTTTTTTTTTAAATGGGGAAAGTAGGGTTGGGGAAGTGGGGAGAGAACCTTCAAGTTCTTCCAACCAAAGGGGAGCCTTCGGGGTCAGCCTCTGGTTTGACAGGGAAGCAGGCTTGGCCCAGGGATGTTAAGTGAGTCATCCAAGGACACACAGCTATTTGGGGCACAGCTGGAGCTGGAACCGCTCACTCCTGTGACACAGTGTGATAGGTTTTGATAGAAGTATTCAGAGTATTTGAGAAGGTGCCTGTACTCTTAAGAGGGAGAGGGGTCCAGCACCAGCCTGCGAACTGACAGGTTGCCCGTTCGATCCCCAGTCAGGGCATATACCTGAGTTACAGGCCAGGTCCCCGGTTGGGGCCATGCAAGAGGGGCCATCCAATTGATGGATTTCACATATTGATGTTTCTCTTATTCTCTCTGCCTCCATTCCCTTCTTTCTAAAAATAAAATTGTAAAAAAAAATTTTTTTGAGAGAAAGTTCCCTGTTACTGGTCAGTTTTCTTCTCTCTCTACTTAGCAGTAGACAGGAGGGGAGAATGACAAGGTGAAGAGGAAAGGAGAGTTTAAAAGGGTTTGCTCCCCAGAGTTGCCATCTTGTCGATGAAAAGTAATGACAGTTGAAGTGATTTCAGTTCACAAAATCAGAGTATCAGTAAACCGCATAAAAGACCTGAAATAGGATTCAACTTTGATACTATGTTACTTAATGTTTCTGAGCTTACTTTCCTTGCACATGAAATAGGGACAATCTTACCTGCCTCAAAGAACTCTTGTGAGAATTAAATTAACTAATTTTATGTGGTGTCTTAACATGGTATTTGGCATGAGCGTCTCCTAAGTATTGGGTTGTCCAAAAAGTTCATTTAGTTTTTTCTGTATGATGGTTCTAGTAGTGCTTAGTTGTATTTAACTTCATTCAAAACAGTGTTGTTAGATTGTATTGTGACATCTGTCATATCAGCGTGCATTTTTTTTAAAAACTTAGCAAAACTGGCGAATTTTTGTACAGCCATTTTAATATTGAAGATGGTAGAAAATGCACATTTTTGGTACATTATGCTTTATTATTTCAAGAAATGTAAAAGCCAACTGAAACACGAAAAAGATTTGTGCAGTGTACAGAGAAGGTGCTGTGACTGATGGAGTGTATCACAAGTGGTTTGCAAAGTTCCTTGGCACTATTGACACTTTGGCCAAATAATTCTTTGCTGTGGGGCTGTCTTGGGCATTGGAAGGTGTTTAGCAGCAGCCCTGGGACTCTACCCACTAGAAGCCAGTGGCAATGGGAGACGGCCGACATGCTCAGAATTTCCAAATCAGTGAGGTACTGTGAAAATGAAAAATGTGTCTTTTACAGAAAAAAAACTAAACAGGCTTTTTGGCCAACCCAGGATTAACTGTTTTTAAGTAAGAAAATTTGACCTGGTGTCAACTAGATCACCTTTAGTTGGTACTATTCGATTTTAATGTGCCTTAATCTGATTTTTCTTTTTCTTGCCTAGAAATCTAGTTCATATGATTGAACATGCACAGAAAGAACTTCAGAAGTTAAGGTAATTTGTTTCCTCTTGTGTCAGAATAAAGTTTAGGTGAGCCCCCTTTAACAGGAAGCTAAACAACAAAACAAACACGCAAGCAGAATAAAAACAAAGACACTGAAATAGAGGACAAGGGGACAGTGACCAGAGGGAAGAGGGAAGGGAATTTAAGGGGGAAAAGGGGGGAGGGATTTGGAGGAACAAATATGAAGGACACAGGGATGAGAACTAAGGTGGGTGGAAATGGGAGGGAGGTGGGAGCACAGGGCGGGGGGGGGGGGTGGGATGGGAGAAATAGACAAAAAACTGTACTTGAAAAATAACTAAATAAAATTATTTTAAAAAAAAAGTTTAGGTGAGCCCTCAATAAGTAGAAGGAAAAGGAACCAGTGGATAAGTCACATGAGAGTAAGCAGTTGATCTGCACTGTGTCCAGCGCCTGCCATTGGGTTCGCCCCACCCGCGTGGCGGGAGACAGGCCTGAGGTCCGAAAGCACCTCTGCCTGGTCACTTGCAGTTTACAAGTCTGCAGGCATCGGAAGGAACTTCCAGAGGGGAAAAGGTGCAGAACAGCATGTATATTCTGGTTTCTGTTAAAAACAACCAAGCCAGTCTACCCATGTGCACGTGCATGTGCACAGAGTTTGGAAAGACAGCCACCAAAATCCAGACGGTGGGTATCAGGGAGGTGAAGCACATGGGCAGAGGACCTTCGGTTATAACCTGCATGTGTGTGCGTTGTGTGAAATTTGAGAAATAATAAAATTAACTTCTGGAATTAGTCTGTGACTCCATATATCTGTTCTGCTCAAGGGATGAAATATGTTGTATTATATTGACCATAGATTTTTTCCAGTTGATCGTAGTCAACAGAAAATGTAAAATGTAGGTTAGTTGTATAAATAATTTGTTTTACAGGAAACATATTCAAGATTTAAACTGGCAGCGGAAGAACATGCAGCTCACAGCTGGATCTAAATTAAGAGAAATGGAATCAAAGTGAGTACCTACAATTCTGTCATCTTTTAAATTGTGTAGCAAATTTAAAATCGAAAGTCAGCCATCTGACTGAAACAGCATTCAAACGGGAACCCGCGGCGGTCGGAGCCAGGCTGCTCTCCGCCTCCCTCTCCCCACTGCCAGGCCCCCATCCGAGGTGTGGCCGGAGGGCAGTGGAGGGGCTGCAGCCAAAACCAGGCCCGATGGCACCCGAATCCTGCCGATTGATTCTCTTCCGAGAGCGCCCTGTCTTCAGTCCACCGTTTCTGCTCTGAATGGGATTCTCCCCGTTTTCAAAGGGAAAAAAATAACTATTTAGTTAGCAGAAGGGGGATTTAGTACTTTCTTCCCCATGTCGTACGTTAGGCATCTTTTCAAATTTTTCTCAGGCAAATAAAATCTTCTAAACATATATGTATGTTTCTTTTTATTCATTTTAGAGACTTTATTTTTTTCTAGGGGAAGTTGCCTTAAATCTCCAGAATCTTTTTTGATTAACTCTAGAAGTTTCTTCACCATTATTAAAGTATTGCTTCTGCCCTCTTTTCTTGCCTTTTTGGTTAATCCATTTTAAATACTATCTTCCCTGCCATGGCTGGCGTTGCTCAGTTGTTTGGAGCGCTGTCCCATTCACCAAAAGACTGAGGGTTCAATTCCTGGTCAGGGCACATACCTAGGTTGCAGGTTCAATCCCTGGTAGTGGTACATATGGGAGGCAAGTAACTGATCTTTGTCTCTTACATCTGTGTTTCTTTCTCTTTCTCCCTTCCTCCCCCCTCTCTCTCTTCCTCTCTTCTTAAAATTAATAAACACTTTTAAAATACTGTCTTCCCTCACACTTTCCTATTTCTTGAATTCTTTTTAATTTTCTTAATGAAACATCTATTTTGAAATAATTATAGAATCACATGCAGTTGTGCAGAATACTGCAGCGAGACCCCGTGTACCCTTTCCTCACTCCCCCAGTTGTGCCTCAGTGTTTTCAAAAGAAAAGTTCAAAGTGAATGTTAGTGTTACAGCCCTGGCTAAAAATGCACATCTGGGAAACTGTTCAGAGACATTTCACAGTGAGTAGTTTTTCTGTTGTTTTTCTGTTTTAGCTGGGTGTCCCTGGTCAGTAAGAATTACGAGATTGAAAGGACTATTGTGCAGTTAGAAAATGAAGTCTTTCAGATGAAGCAGCAGCATGGAGAGGCCAACAAAGAAAACATCCGACAAGACTTCTGAGAAGACGGATGATTCTGTGGATCGAAAGGACGGCGGCTGGGCTTCTCCAGACCAGACACTGTCTGTGAAGGACGACATCACCTTACGGAAACCGCCGGCAGTGTTTAAAAGCAGTAAACAGTGGACCGTTAATATTCCCTTTGTACATTAACAGAACAAAAAAGTTCAACTCAGTGGTATTGTTTGTCATTACAAAAAATTTTTTCAGAGCTCCAAAATAATATTACTTTAGAAAAATATAGGATTAATTTTGAGCCACCTGGACCATATTTTGTATTCAAGAGATCTTTGTTGAAAATTTTCAATGTGTATAAGAAGTTGGGAACTTTTGGCTTATATATTTTTCAAATAAAGAGGTAGTTGTACACAAATTCTTGATTACCAAGTAAGGTGTAAGAAATACAGCGGCTCCGTGTACATCAGCTCTCACCGTCCTCCCCGTAGAACAGCTTCACAAAGCTCAGTCTGTGCGTAGCACTATCCGTTGCATGACCATGGATGGACTCCAGCAAGTTAAGCAGCTTTATCTCTAGGCCTTCCATATGGGAGCCAATAAATTGCCAGTTTTGCAAGTCAGTTTGAGTGGATTTTCTATCCCTTGCAATATTAGTCATTCTAACTTAAGTCTCTCAAAGTAAATACCCAGGTTGCTTTTTTGGAGGGAATTTGAACATGCAGCAAAACACTGATTTTTATAATGTCTCACAATAGACCATTTGGTTTGGGGTCACTTCCAAACTGAAACCTAAACTTCCATGAATAAAAACGCATTTGATCCTCAAAAACTTTAGATTCCCTGCCCAATTCAGAAACCGTATTTGCAGCATATCAAAGGATAAATAGTCTTCATGTATATAGATCTTTATAAATTACTGCTACATTCTTTTTATGATGGAGGAAGAATTACATTTTAATTTTAACAGGTTTGTTGTTTTTAAAGATGGGCTTAAACAGCACGTGTAATCTTGGTAATGATTGCCCCCAGAGTGCTCATGGCCGTGGCCTAGGCCAATTCACTGCACCTTCTCAGGCCAAAGAAAGTGTATGTTCTGCCCTCCTTGACTGAGGGGCCGAGTTTTAGGTCCTCTGTGCAATGTGCCCCCTGGCCCTCTGTCGTGTTGTACTACTCGCTAGGACGTCCTAGTCTAGTGTGGTGACCAGCTTGGAAAGCCGCATGTTTCCTTGGCCTGGGCTGGGTTCACGGTGTATTACTACATAGAAAGCAGTAGTTCTAATAATAAATGATGAGTGTCTAAATAAGACTGACCATTCTGTTTCTTTTTTAAACCTGTTGTGCTCAAAATTCTGTCCCACTGATTGAGGTTCCTCTCTCGTTCCTAAAACTGCGCAGTTTGAGGATGGCCCCAACTCTGCTGAAAGAAGCAATCTGTATGACCATGGATGGACGCCAGCAAGTTAAGCAGCTTTATCTGTAGACCTTCTCTACAGAAGCCAATAAATTGCCCATTTTGCAAGTCACTTTGAGTTGGATTTTCTATTTCTTGCCATATGAACCATTCTAACTTAAGTCTCGAGATAAATACCCAGATTGCTTTTTTATGAGGGAATTTAAACATGCAGCAAAACACTGATTTTTACAATGTCTCACAATAAACCATTTGGTTTGGGGTCACTTCTCTGTCTTAACTACAAGGGAAAATAACTGGGCAGAGGTAAGAGTGAAAACAACCTTAACCTGTCAGCTTCAGTAATTGAGCTTTCGCCCCTGGCTGGTGGGCTCAGTGGGTCGAGCACTGGCCTGTGAACCAATGGGTCACCCATTCAATTCCCAGTCACAGCACATGCCTGGGTTGCAGGCCAGGTCCGCAGTAGGGGGTGCACAAGAGGCAACCACACATTGATGTTTCCCTCTCTTCCCCTCTGTCTAAATAGTCTTTTTTTCTTTAATTGAGCTTTCTAACCCATATGAAGGAAATCTTTCAGCAATCATCAAGTTCACTGGCATAGTTGTAATTTAAATATTTTAATCGTATTGTTACCGAACAACAAGAGGTCCGAGGGAGGGGCAATACAATATTTGGCCCACCTAGGGATGCCCAAAACTGCTATACAACAGGGGCCCCTCCCAAAAACAAAATACTAAAATCTACTGGGCCCTTCTGTCCGCCGCCAATTGGAAAGACATCTTTTAATGCTAGAGATTTGTGAAAAGGAAACAAAATGTTTATTTAATGCTATTCAGGCCTAATGTCACCACTAAAATATCAAAGTCCTTTAGGGTATACACCTACACCCACACAGCGCTCCCTTCTCCCACTGTCCCAACTCCGGGTACCGTAAATCAGGAAAAGAGCACACGTCTGTGTTGCAGGCCGCTGGCACCGTCAGCTGTGTCACTGTGCAGGCAGGATCTCCAGTTAATCCAAAGTACTGCGGCACCCTCTCATGGTCCACTGGCAAGAGTCCTTTGTACCCAGTTCCAGTCAAAGTCTCTCCTGCTTTCCAGGCCACGTGGCCAAAGGGGGCACCCCAAAGCCGCATGGGCCTCTTCTACCAAAGCTGCAGGGGTTCACGCTTCCCCAAAAGTGCATTGTGGCTTTCTTCTTCACCTGGCTGCAGGGATCTCCATTCTGGCAAAGCTGCGTGGTTTTTCCCTTTCACCTGGGCAGTTATCCCCTCATGTCCCGGAGCCAGTCTTTTCCAAGCTCCCACACACCGGCCCTTCCACTCAGGGGTGCAGCCCCTCGTTACATTCTGAGTCCAAGCCCTTCTCACTCAGTCCAGCCCCTAGTTACCATCTTGAGTCCCCAAGCCCTTCTCACTCAGGAGTGCAGACCTTAGTTACATCCTCCTGAGTCCCCGCTCACTACCTTCTCCCTGGGCCCCAAATTTGGTCACTGCTATTTAACATATCTATGAAACCAGTTAAAGGTTATACATATGTTAAATAATCATTCCAGAGGTTAGCTCCAAAACTGTTGCTATGCAAAACAGCTCTCAATGGCCTGGCTCCATTCGTTTCTTCCCCCTGGGGGGAGGTGTGAGGACATCTTATATGTCTCTCCAATATTTCTATACACTTTGAATTCTGGACACCTTTCTAAATCTTTTTTTGGGGGGCCCCCTGGCTGCACCCTGTATCAATATTACCACTCGTAACTTTTTAAATTTAATTTTTATAGAATATGTGTGCTTTCTGTTCTTCCTCTGCCCCTCCTTCCCCTTCTCTCTTCCTTCTACCCTTTTGTTCCAATCCAGGATTACTGCCATCCCCAAACTTAGTGGTATAAAACACTAATGAACATGTATTATTATCTCTCACAGTTCTGGGGATTTGCCGTGCTCAGGTGGGCACTGTTCGGGGCTTCTTTTACAGCAGTCTTTACAGATGACGGCCGGCCTAGTGTCCTCTTGATGGATTCTGCTCTGACAACTGGGCTCCGAAGACAGATGTCAGAGTCTACCTTCTATGACTTGGCCTTAGGAGTCACAGTGTTGCGTCTGCCCCATCGTATTAGAAGCAAGTGAGTGAGGCCAACCCACGTTCAAGGGGAGAGAAATTAGATTTCACCTCAGAAATGGTTTAAAGGATTTCTGGACATTTTTTGTTTTAAAACTTGGACATTTTGGCCTTGGCTGGTGTGGCTCAGTGGACTGAGCGCCAGCCTGCAAACTGGAAGCTCACTGGCTCATTCCCAGTCAGGGCACGTGCCTGGAATGTAGGCCAGGTCGCAGTTTCTCAGCACGGTGATGTCTCTGCTCTGCCTTTCCCCTCCCTAAGAAAATAAAGCCTTTTTTAAAAAAGAAAGAGAGCACGGCCTTGCCCACACCTTGACTCCAGACTTGCAGCCTCCAGGTTTGTGAGACAATAAGTTCCGTTGTCTGAGCCACCCCAGGCTGCTGGCAGTTTGTTTTGGCAGCCCCAGGAAACTGATACCCACACATTAATACGGAGCTGAGAGCCATGGTTCCGAATTGCAAACAGGGATTATGTAAATAGATGCTTAAGAGGCTGTGATCCATCCCTCTACCCCTCCCCTCTGCCCTCAGCAGGACAGTGAAAGTCTCTTCTGAGAATAAGTAGCCCAAGAGAAAAGGCCTAAAGTTGTTGAAATTGAGGGCCTACCGATAAATGACCCAGCCAGGTCACTCGGCTGTGAGGTCCTACAACCCCTTCCCACCACCAACACGCAGAGCTTCTACTCTGTGTTGTAGCTCCCACTCCTAAATATGAACAGACAACTGATTACCAGGTAGGGAGCTGAGAGACATCTTCATTGTGAATGACAAAAAACAAATGCAGTAACTGTAATAGCGTAAGCAATGAAAAGTATTTTAAAAAAATAAAATAAAACAAATGGGAAACTGGAGAAAACAGTACTAGAAAAAAATCTACTTTGTTTTGTAAGAAATACATCCTAAGAAAATAATACATCTTCAGAGAAGATACTATAGCCATAAAATAAAAAGATGCTGTTTTATTAAGGAACATTCAAAGAACAAAACAGCTCTTAGAAATTAAAAAGCATGGCAGCAAAAGTTAAAATTCAATAGAAGTTAGGAATTAAAGTTGACAAACTCTTCCAGAAATGGAGCCAAAGGCAGAGATGAAAAATAGAAGAAAGAAAACTATAGGACTAATCCAGAAGTTTAAATAATTTGAGATCTAAAAAAGAGAGAATCAAAACAGAAGGAAATCTTCCAACAAAATAATTCAGAATTTTCTAGAACTGAAGGATATGAGTTGGCAGATTTCAAAGTCCCAACACAATGGCAAAAAGAGACCAAAGCATATGGTTTGTGAAATTTCAGGAGGACAAAAAGAAGATTCTGCAAGATCTGGGGAAGGAAAGTTTGTTACATTTTTTTTAATCAAGAACAAAAATCTTTAGGCTTCTTCATGTCAACTCATAGGCACAGTGGAGCAGTGCCTTCAGAACTTCTTTGAAAAATTCCTAACCTAGGACTTTCTCTGTGTAGTCGAATTGCACTTAAGTGTAAGGATAGAATAAAGACATTTTCAGCCATGTAGGATTTCAAAAACATTTACTTCCTATCTTCTCCTTTTTAATTTTTTTCTTTTTTTTAATTGATTCCAGAGAAAGGGGAAAGTAGGAAGAACAAAAGAAAGAAAAGGAGAGAAACATGCCTCTTGTATGCGCCCTGACTGGGGACAGAACCTGCAACCCAGGCACGTGCCCTGCTGGAGAATCGAACCCATGATTTTCCAGTTTGGGAGACAACGCTTGATTAACTGAGCCACACCAGCCTGGGCCTATATCTTAAGGAGTTACTGGAGGATGTCCTCTTCTGAGTCAACACAGGGAAAACAGAAAGATACTCTCCCAAGGGGAAAGGTGCTCCCAGGATAATGTACATACACTCAGTGCAGGGCAGCCCGATCAAATTGGAACAGCGTGACTCCCAACACAAACATTTTGAGAACTGTCTTCACAAAGACATTCATCACCATTGTCCAAGCTTTTTACCCTAAGGAGCAGAATGCCCAGGGGACCGTGTTCCACATTTGGCTTGCTCTCTGTCCTGATGAAATTCCTATCTTCCCTTCCCTTCGGGGCTGGGACCGGTTCGCAGGAGTTTATCCCCTGAACTGACCCGCACCCAGTGCGCAGCAGGAGCCTGCCTGCGTTCCAGCCTTGCCAGAGACCCCAGAACAAGCGCTTGTGGGTGTCAGGAAAGCTGAAGCCAGGCTGTGACCCAGAGTTTGTTCTGCTTACTATTTCCCAGGGCCCTCATCCAACTGCTGAAACACTGCCTTCTGCTGTAGACTGAATATTTGTGTCCCCGCAAATTCCTACGTGGAAACAAACCCCAGTGTGATGGTATTTGGACGTGGGGCCTTTTTGGGGCAGTGACTAGTTTATGAGAGCAGGGCCCTCGTGAACATGATTAGTGCCCTGGAGAAAAGAAGGCCCCAGTTTCTTTATGTCCTTCTGCCGGGTGAGGCCAGAAAGAGAAGACGGCTGTCTAGGCACCAGGAAGCGGGCTCTCAGACATCATCAGGTCGGCCGACCTTGGTGGGGGACTCTGAAGCCTCCAGAACGGTGAGAAATCAGTTTGTGCTTTAATCCACCACATCTGGTATTTTTGTGACAGCACACAAACAGGCTAAGGTATCTTCTTTTTTCAGTTTTGATATTAGTGTTTATATTAATCACTTCTCACATTCATTTCCATGTAGATAGTTGTGGTGTGTTGAGTAATGGCCCCAGAGATGTTCATCCAGGTCCTAATCCCCGGGATTTTGCAGATGTGATTGAGTTACGGCTGATGAGATGGGGAGATGCTCCTGGGTTATCTGGGTGGCCCAGTGTGATCACACGGTCTTTATGGGAAGGAAATTGGAGTCAGGAGAAGAGAGGATGCTAAACTGCTGGCTTTAAAGATGAAGGAATTCCTGGCTGATGTGGCTCAGTGGATTGAGTGCCGTCCTGCAAACCAAAGGGTCCCTGGTTCAAATCCCAGTCAGGGCACATGCCTGGGTTTTGGGCCAGGTC